CACGCAGCCCGGCCGTGCTGGGGGGAGCAGGGGGACAGAAGGGGGAGGCCTGGGGGGCTGGAGGGCAGGCAGCCCGGCCAGGCAGAGCTGACCTGTGCCCGCACTGGCAAGAGGATGCCGGGGTTGCTGCGCGTACGCGCGATTTCAGCTGCGAACCTCCCCGAGCGTCTTCACGAAAGGGAGAACCCAGGCTGGTTTTGGCTGCGGGGTTTAGGGGGAGAGTGGGTGACATTCAATGGGTTTGGAGCACACAGACACAAAAAGGTACATCTGCTGGGAGAGAAGTGTGTCCAGCCTTGGGAAAAGCATGACAAATCTTGGGAGTTACAGAAAGGACGCTGGTGCCTATTTCCTAAATATCGCCCCCAGCCCAGAAGGGTGCTCTCCTGCTGTCTCATGTGCAAACGCCGTGGTTGTTTCTTTCTGTGACTCTCCCGACAGGAGCTGGAGACCTGACCGGGGACGCTATGGGCTATGTGACAGGCGTGCTGGCCGTGCTGATACACGCTGCCTACCTGGTGCTCATTCAGAAGACCAGTGTAGATAGTGAATACGGACCCCTGACGGCTCAGTACGCCATTGCTGTTTCGGCCACCCCTTTCCTCATCATCTGCTCCTTTGCTAGCATGGATTCCATCAACGTCTGGTCATTCCCAGGGTGGAAGGACCCTGCCATGGTATGTATCTTCATCGCTTGTGTCCTGATTAGCTGTGCCATGAACTTTACCACCCTGCACTGCACTTACATTAACTCGGCTGTGACCACCAGCTTCGTAGGGGTGGTGAAGAGCATAGCGACCATCACGGTGGGCATGGTGGCATTCAATGACGTGGAGCCCACAAAGTTATTTATAGCCGGTGTTGTGGTCAACACCCTGGGGTCTGTCATTTACTGCGTAGCCAAGTACATTGAGACCAGACGGCAGAGCAATTACGAGGACCTGGAGAAAGAAGCTAGAGAAGAGGAGGGGAAAAGGCAGGCTGGGGACCAAGCGCTCTTTGCGATGGAGGCGATTTCCCGGGAGAAGGGGGCTGAGGAAGCAGCAGTGGAAGGATCAGCCACGGGGGACAGCCAGAGCGGAGAGGAAGAGAGGGACGGCGCTGAGAAGCCTGCCACGGGACCGGCAGTCCAGGGAAAAGCCCCTGGCACACAGGAGGTGAAGAGGAGCTCGCTGAAGGATGCCTATCTTGGAGTATGGAGGTTGGTGAGGGGTGCTAATTATATAAAGAAGGATTATTTGATAGAAAATGAGGAGCTACCAAACCCTTAAAAAGCAGGTTTGAAAAGCCTATTGCTTGTGGACAGACACCTTGTTCTCCGTACCGGGGGAAAGGCAGAGCGTTCATTTCCACATCAATGCTGACAAATCCAAATCATGTAGGATGACTTTACCTCATCGTCAAAAAGCAAAAGGTCAGAGTTTGCTCATGCTTTGGGCTTGCTTTCAGCTGCTTTCAGTACATCAGTTTAGACCCACCACAGCTAAAGGTGCCGAGTCCTCTGCTGTGGACACAGTTGGGTGACAGCAAGTCACAGGGTGTGTGCCTGGCAGCCGGGGCCGTGGGGAACACCAGCACCATTAAGCCAGTCAGCAGTGCCAGTGACACGGCGGTGGCCTCTAGCTTAGCTTGTGTCTGGAGCCTTGTGATTTTAACACCATTCGGAGGCTCTGTTGATGTGCTTCCGTATCTGTATCCATCCAATTATAGGCACTCAATATAAATATATTCCTGCACTATTTAAGATCCTATTAACTCTACTTTTATGTGCTCCTCTGTGTCAACACAATTACAACAGAGCTAGAGGTTGTGCCAATTCAATTATGTTGGTGTAAGATCACCCTCTTAACTGGAGAATTGAAACTCCCCCCAATTCTGTGGCCAGGCTGGGCCTTGGACCTGGATTACATTGAGTGGTTGGTGTCTTCAGTAGGAATACTTTTGTTGTGGCATACATGAGAGCAGAACCAGATCTGAACTTTGGAGAAGCTGTGGTCAGCAAAAAAAGGATGTTTTTCTATGAGCTTTAACTACATGTAGCACTGGGAATATTAGTTTGACCCAAATAAAAGGGATTGGAAATGTTGGACTTTACTGATTTGATTTGGGAGAGTTATAAAAAAATAAATAATAGGGAGAAAGCGCGTGCCTTGTGCCATCCCCTCCTCGAACCCTACATTTGAGTGAATCAGAGCCTGGCCTGGAAGCTAGGTATCCTCCCTCAGAAGTACAGGCTGACAGGAGAACTGGGGACACCACCTCAGCTGTGGTTCCTGGGAGTGCCCTCGCAGGACAGTTTTGCTGTATCCTGGCCATGTGCTGTGACATGGCTTTGTGCATATCGGCCCTCGCTGTCCCCGCGCTGGGCTGTCCGGTGGGAGAAAGCGTGAGCAGGGCGGCAGGAGCTGCAGTGTGCTCTGGCAGATCCCACAGCCGAGCGCTCGGGGGCCAGAATGCTCGAGATGCCCATGGCTTTGGTGGAAGCTGCTCCCCTGTGGCCAGACCGTCCCCATGGGCTGCAAGGGGCAGCGCTGCCTTTCCAGACTGGCTGTCCCAGCACTCCTGTGGGTCCTTTACCGAACCTGCTATTGTTTTGTACCGTATGCATTTAACAGGAAAGACTGGGGAAACGAGCATTTCTTAGCCTGGGGAATACTCTTTTGGGATGTGGGGGTCCTTTGGTCAAACCTTTGCTCAGGACCAGGCAGAGAAGAGATTTGACTCTAGAGTCTTCCTCATCCCAAAGGGGTGCCCCAGCCATCGGGCCATCTTGACCATGGCCTGAAACAAGTTGTTAACCATCTCCTGAAAAAATGAACCAAGTTTTCTGTTGTTGTTCTTGTTGTTGTTTTTATTCCTATTATTATTATTTTATTTATTAAGCCACTGAACTGAAAAACGACTTATTCCCACAGCCCTAATTCAGCAGTGCCTAGCCCAATGCCTTCTTGAGCCAAGCGGGCAGCGTTAGCCTCACAGCGCGTGCAGCACTGAAATCTGAAATGAGCAATTCACCCAGCAGGGAATATTTGCAAACCTCATCTCTGGGGGAGTTTTAGATTCTTGTCATTAAATGCAGGCAGAAACACTGGGCGCGGCAGTATGGTTTTTGAGTGAGGGCAGAAGTTGGGTGACCTGGTGTCACCCGTGAATTCGGAAAGAGACGGCTATGAAGACATTCAGGCTAAAAGCCTGTTGCTGCCGAGCTGGGGGACAAGGCGTGGAGGTCTGTGCATCACATTTGTTGTGTTTAAGAGGCCAGAGATGCTGGCTGTGTGCCAAAATACGTTTACTTTCCGTTCAAGCTCCATATGGCATCTTATTCAATAGAAGCACTATTTATTGTTTATAGGCTAATATAATAGGGGTTTTGTTAGTTTTACAAAGGCATCGTAGGCTGAAGAAGTTTGTGCCTATGACTTATAGTTGCTGTATTACCGAGCTCTTTACGATATTGAACAGCGTTGTAAACATCCAGATGGCTGAAGAGAAACCCACATTTCCTATCTGTCCCCTCTGTGCTCAGTGTCTTCTGTCCGCAAGAAACGTGGATCTTTCTACCACCTGGATGCCAGCCTTAGCTCCCGTAGCGTACGTTCTGTGTTTGGCACGTGCTGTAGAAAACTCTTCCCCTGGACTCTTGTTGCAGGACCTTTTCCTGAGGGAGTTCAGTGTTTCACTGCTTACTGTTGTTGAAGTATTAGTAGAAACTTGCGGAAACTTGAACAGTTTTAACTGTTTAAAAACACTGTTGTTACGATGTTGTACATTTGCATGTATAGTAGGAATGTGATTACACTGTATCCTGTTTATACCTGTAAGTTCCCTAAATTAAAACGGGGATTTGGCAAATGCAATCCACTTTTTCAGTAACAGAGACTGTCGCACAATAAAATGAAAATACTGCCTCGTGCTGAGGTATTTTAATAGCATCAGCGGAAGACTGCAGAATGAGATGTGGGAATAAAATGCACTGCTTTCCAAAAGCCTTCTGGTTTTCTTATTGTTGCCACTCCGGGGATGCTCATTTTGGTTCATTTATAGTTATTCTTGTGCCTTTATACCGTCCAAGTTTCCTCAACATGTGACCGCATGCTATAAATAGTCGTGGATGGAGGGACCGAGGACGGACAAAGGAACACGGGAATCTGAAGTGGCTGAGTCCTCTGTACAGCTTGAAGTTTCTGTGGTTCTCAGGAGTGATTTCTTTGGTTACGTATTTAAGACAATTTAGTGTTAACTAGTATAACTTCAGAATGAATAAAAATAAGATGTTGCTCATTATTGATAGTTATAAACTCATTGCATTATTGAAGGACTTAATATTGATTTTTATTTTACAACGTTAAGTATTTGTATTAGCAGCTATGTCACATGGCAACCCTAGGAGATGACTTAAGCATTAATTTTTGCCTGTTTGCTTTGGATGAAAGGCATGTAATGTCCCTGTGGCTGAAACTGGGTTGTGCCAGACACCGGGGCGGGTGATTATTGCAGAGTTCATCTTAGAGCCCCACACAAATGTGCCTTCAGGACAGTTTAGAGAAAGAAACTGTCCTTGTTCCAGGATAACGAACGAACCTGATGCACAATGGCTGCTTTGAGATTAATTTCAGTGTCAGCACATCGTCGAGTAACACCTGCTCTAACACTGCTCTCTACGCACTCACATGCACGCACGCACGCGAGTACACATGCAACAGGAAAACAAAAGCCAGACTGGCTATCTTTTCTAAAATATATTCTTTTCTCTAAGAAATTAAAGAGAAGCCAGATTATTTGGAAGCAGGGAGGGTTAAAATTTCCAAGAATAAGTTAAAAATTTGCATACATCACTGACAAACTGATCCTGCATTTACCATCCCTTCCAGAAGGAAAATGAACAGCAACCTACAAAAAACCAGGTGAGAGTGAAGGAAATTTCACAGTTTATTAAGCAACACTCCACAGCCCTGTGTATGCCTGGGGGTAGTTTATTGTCAGTGCTTAACAGCCTCTCATTATTTGATTACGTCTGTTGGCTGCAGGCAAAGGCTTCAGCAGGCAAAGGCTTCAGCAGGCAGAAAGGTGCAAGCCCTTCGGCTCTGGGCTCTAAATTAACAGTTGAACATCTTGCTGCTTGTTGTGGTTAAGGTTTAACACCACAAATTCCCATCTCCTTGCCCTCTCTGCCAGTGTCCCATACAATTTCATGTACCGCTTTGAGGTTTCTTCTGTGTGGTGGTTTTTTTTTTTAACCTGAAGCCTCTTTTAAGAACAGTGCAGGCAATCAACCCTGCCTCTCAATTAGCTGCTGTGCTAATGCCTCGGTAGCTCGTTGGAGCTCATCAGGATGCTTTTCACTTCAACCTCGCACCTGTCAGGAATTGGTGAGCATGCACAGGCCCTCCTTTCTCTTCCCTTGTTCCCGCTGTATTTCCCAAATCTTGTTTCCAGGGTCCAGCCTGAAAACCTCTGCCAGTGGTGGAGGACTTGCCACAGAGGCTTCTGCCACGTTAGTCTTTTTTAAATTTTCTTTCTAGAAAGGCAGGGAGGGGAGAGACCAGTGGGATCTTGCGTGTCCAGATTGCTTCTCGCCACCTTTGGGTATGTTTCTGCACACCGGCTCCCTGCTTCCCAGCTCCCGATATAGCTCGGCCATGGCTGCCTACCAGCTTCTCATGGAGCTGGGCCAGGGCTGCGTACCAGCATCCTGCGGCGCTGGGCTGTGCGCAGGATAGACGCTGGAGTGAGGGCCCCTGCCCTGCAAGCCAGCCCCTACCGAAATCTGGCCGTGCACGCCGGTGAGGGTATTTATTATACAAGTAAAACCAGGGAATTTTTTCACAGTAAGCACGTTTTGAGTAATAAGGATATAAACCTGAAAAGGGGTTGGTTGCCATCTTTATTGCTGTTGATCCAGACTCATTTTTATAGTGGTGGAGACTAAAGAAAGCCAGTCACACTTTTTAATACTAAACATTGAGTTGGAACAGGAGAGAGACTGTGCCTGAGATGAAAGCTGGGGTAGAGAGCATGAAAACACTGCTCGAGGAGGTACTGAGATTGGGCTGGATGGGGAAAATAGGAGAGTTTGCAGAATATCAAAATGTTTCAGTTCATATCCCTCTCCTACACCCACATCCCTGGGGAGCCCCCTCCAACAAATTTCAGTTTGTCACTGTTCTTACCTGGAAGGAAATAGTAATAGCATCAGAAACCCAGGGCCAAAGTGTGTGGTGAATCAGCAGTGAATGCACCTGAATTCTGGGCCCTGGAAGAGCGATACACA